CCATTTTCTCTTATAAAAATCATATCATTTTGAAAGACATTTTAAAAAGGATGCTTCAGCATATGGAAGAATATTTTATAGGCTTATGAACCCTCATTCAAAGTAGTTCATGCTTTATGTAACTATGCTACCTATTCAATAGCCATAATGCATGGTTGAAAGAGTTCTCCCATTAAAATGGAACTTAAAACCATTGGGTTATTTATATAGCTCCACTTTGTCTAATTTTTATTAATCTCCAACTCTTGTGAAGACATGTTCTAAAAACATGCTTTAGTGCAGCTAAAAGTCAGCTTTAAATCAAGATTAAGAGGCGAGTACCATACATTCAAGTGAAATCCCACTATAATATTTTAAACCAATATTGATTGGTGTTGTGTTGTTGTTTTTTTCTACTTAGAAAACAGCTACCGAAAAACACCCATGTCTTAGCTACTGAAAACGTCCAGGGTCGAAAGTTCGACTATATATATAGAAATGTCCAGGTTATATACGTTTTACTATATATTAAATCGTCCATGGTATGAAAGCTATAACGTATATGAAAATTTCCAGTTATATGACAGTTATATCATGTATGAAAAGTTTCAAGGTATGAAAGTTTTACTATATATATATATATAAGTCCAGGTAACAGAAGTTCTAAAGTATATTGAAACGTCCAATGTATGAAAGTTCTACTATATATGAATGATGTTAGAAAAACACACAGGTTCAAGAAGTCTTGATAGAAATGAATAAAAACACTATAACCCAAGCTCTTTGGGAAGGTCCACCTTTCGAAAGTGCTCGGGTTATAGGGTTTTTATTCATTTCTACTAGGTATGAAAATATCTAAGTTATGAAAGTTCTACTACATATAGAAACGTCCAAGTTATGAAAGTTCAAATATATATATGAAAACGCCTTGTGTATGAAAGTTCAAATGTATATGAAAATATCCAGTGTACGAAAGTTCTAAAAAATATGAAAACGTACATGGTATTAAAGTTAAACTGAAAACGTTTAGGACATAATCTAAATTTCTGACAATTAGATATCATGAAAAATCATTACATGTTAATATCAGCATGAACATCAATGTATGTATGAAAAGTAAAATTCTGACTTTTAACAAGAGTGAAAAAAAGTTATTAGAACACTGTGAGGATGATAGGAAGTCATAATAAATTAATGTATGTTAGAAGACAGTGTTTCAAAGTTCTTGTGTGGGTTTGAGTTTTTTGTATGGGTGGTAACTTGAAAGAAGGTACATATAAACGGAGTTTACGGAACTTGTTGAACTTGTCATCTCCACTTTCGGAAACAACCTGTAGCATTTCGAAAATAAGATTGTGGTATAATAAATTACAACCTAACTATTTGTCTGTATCTCTATTTATGTAACCTTCAACCTACTGCATGTCTATT